ACTTATACAAGAATTGCATTTTAGTCCCTCAACTAAATTATTCGCTCAAATGGTCCATCAACTCTTTATTATTCAGTAAATTGGTCCCACTGTCTAATTTTTTGTTAGATTTAATCAAAATTTAGGGTAAATACGACTTTACATAATTTAAAACTAAAAATAAGGTTAAATTAATACAAAATTAGAAAATATCGAAGAAAAAAAGAAAAAATCCTCAGAACCAAACCCAGCGCCCCCTCCTCTCGATTTTTTCTCCCCCATTCCCCTACAGACCCTTCCCCACTTTCTGTTTTCCGCTCTCTCCTTGTCTCTCTCCCATTCGCCCCCTCCCCCTCTTAGCAACAAACCCCTCCTCCTCCCACCACTTATGGCTTAACCCAAACATCTAATTATTTTTGTATTTTCTTTTCCTTGTTTGTAAGCTACTCAAATACCCAAGCAAGATCTCACCCCAACCTATGGCCCAAAGACCTTCGGCTCTCTCAACATCAACAACTTATGTTTTTGGTGAAAGAAACATGACTAGGCCCAAATATTCACTTGAGAGAGAGAGCACGAAATGACCAATTTGCCTTCATATTTAATGACAATTTTGACAGAATGTAACGGTGGACCAATTTGCCGAATAAGAGAGAGTTAATGGATCATTTGAGCGAATAATTTAGTTGAAGGACTAAAATGCAACTTGGTATAAGTTTGAGCATCATTTGAGTAAATAACCCTTATTTGTTTTGTTAAGTAGCTCTTCTTTTTCTTGAAGCCAATTAAAAGGCGGTTTTTGACAAAAAATAAAAATAAAAAGGCGGGCTTGTCTTTCAATTTCAGCAAATAGAAAGAAAAAGAAAAAAACTGAGCTCGCTAGGTTTTCCAAGTCTCTTCGACTAGAACCTCTGTCTGTGACGCGAAACCCGTTGAATTTCGCAGCCATGGCGAGCACCAAAGTTCAGAGGATTATGACCCAACCCATTGTTCGTGCCCTTCTCCATCTTCCTAGTCTTTGTTTTGCTTAGCGTTTTTGTCAATTTTTTTGATGATTCACTGACTAATTTCCTTCTTTTTTCTTTGGGTGTTTTTGCTGCAGAACTTGATTTTCAGGTTCCTTCAAAGTGTAAGTCATCCTTGTCACTCTATTTGGTTGATTTTGTCATCTGGGTTTGTTTGTTTCGGAAAGCTCCCATCGCGGGTGATTTTATTGTTGGGGTTTTGAATTTTGAATTTTTTGGAAAATTTTTGTTACAGAAAGCCCGCATTCAGATTTGGCTCTTTGAGCAAAAGGACCTGAGGATTGAAGGCCGAATCATTGTAAGTTTGTTTTCTCTTTTTTTCCAAACCAATTTTTATTAGGCCACTAGGGTTTTAGAGTTATTTTTGTACATGTTGCTAGATGCTTATTAGCAAAAATTGAGTTTTATTTTTTAAATTTGTTATCTTCTCTTCATATTGATAATAATTTTTTTCTAAGTGATCTAACCAAATTGGGAATTAAATTTCTACTTTCCGCATATGATTGAGCTTAAACGAATAGTAGTGCTCAATTTAACTGTTCTACTGAGTGATACCGAATGCTGATGTATTTATTCTCCCTTTGGCTTATACTTTTGATTAAAAGTTCATGTTGTTCTTATCGTCTATTATGTTGTGTGATTGATGCTCTTATACATTGTTGGTTGTGGAGGTTACACAGTATTGGATAGCTAGCTTATAGTTTTAGGCTTTTAGCTTTTATTCTGGTGGGTTCAAGAATTG